CAGGGGTAAACATATGGTGGAAAGGGATGGTGAAGGGTGTGGCAGGGAGGCAATTACTGGAAACGATCTCCTGTATGTCTCTCTGTGCAGCAGCTGAAAGCCAGCGGGAGAGAGAGAAGAAGCCAGCTTTCAGCTGCTGCAGAGAGAGCCATATAGGGGATTGGCTCCAGTAATTTCCCCCCCACTGTGCCAATCACCCTCCCTGGCTACATATGATTTACCCAGCTGCCTGGGCCCCCCTTGCTGGCCTGGGCCCCGTACAGGAGGACTGGTGGTACCCCCTTATCCACAGCCCTGCTGGTTACATCCACATAGGTGTGGGGTGTTTAGCTCCTATATCCCAAGTGTGTGTGTGCGCTCCTCCCTAACTATATGTGGGATCTGACTCACCCATGACATCACTGCAGGAGGGCTGCACATAAAAGAAGCCTAGCACCTGATGACACTGTCTGCTATAACCAGAAACGTTTTTGGTACAGAGCCACCTAGTAGCAAAATGGCTAACTGCACCTGCCTACATGCAGCTCAGGGCAAAAAAAAGTGTAGAAGGGTTAATAAAGTATATGTAAACTCCAACAATTAACTTCTATTATTTGCTCCTTTTTTGGTCTAATAAATATACCATTAAAAGCATTTTGTATATCCGTTTTATAAGTTTAAAACAATACTTGTTGATCTTGTCATAAGTTCAGAATTGTCCTGTGTCATGTGCCCCCTCTTTGTTCTTATCTTGGACTGCAAGTCAATTAGTCCCTATGTTATGGATAAGAAGAAAGTGATGGTGGCTCAGTAGTTAAGCAAATGACAATGGGCAGGGCTGACACCATTCAATCCATGAAAATGCTCTGTGTTGTCAGCCCACAAACTGGAAATTTAGAGTTGAATGCATTGTTTGGCCACTATGAGAGTTCAGACAGTTACACTTGTTATGTAATCTGAGGACTCTTCCTGTCTCATGAATCTTGTCTCAAGATATGCTATTGGGGTGGCATGGGGAAATTTCGTAGACCCGTAATCCCAAATTTGCATCACTACAATTTACCAAATTTAATACCTTCAGTATTTAAACTGATTACACATTTTGTTCTGAAAATTAGTATCACTCTGCAAGGAGCAATTTGGTGAAAAATACAAAGATGTGAACTTCTGATTAATGTCAGATCTAATGAAATATCTCTCTCTAATAACAGGAGGCATGAATTGTTTTTAGGGATAATGAGCCATATCTATAATTTTTTTTTCCTCTTTTGTATTTAAATTCCAAACCCGGCTGCTTCCTGTGAAAAACTGCGTTTAATTGGCTCCCGGCTAAAAGAGTTGTTTCCAAATCTTGAGTCATCAATGTCATCTTCTGAGATGGATTTGTAGAAGCACTGGCATATTTTGTTGTAAAATAAAAATAAGGGGAGTTAATGAGTGAGCGAAGCAGCATGGCTTTAAGCCTTCCTGCTGGTATTACGACAAATCTCGGCTCGGCGCTGCGCTTTCGGGGTTATTCACAGCCATACAAACAAGTTAGCTGGTTCACTGATCAAATAACTGACAGTTCTGAAAATTCCTCTCTACAAACATTTGCCTCTGTGTAACATCTATTCTCTAGTATTTAATTTAATCATATTGGACTGGCATATGAAAATTACAATGCAAGGTAGTTGGCCTTCTCTGACACAGATATTTTTCTATCTTTTTAAAGCAAATCTTGAAGTGTGAGCTATTTTAAACATCAGGAACTATTAAGTTTATACATTTCAAAACAACCTATGAAAAAGTCTCCAATGCTGAGGAGCAGGAAACACCAGCCTCTTCGAATGTGACTACAGCCGAGTGCCGAGGCCAGAGCTGAGGCAAGGAAAATTTTAACAGGATTACATTACAGCTGATTAGGGGTAAGTAAGAGGTGAAACCAAACACAATTACTTATAAATGTTAGGTGATCTCAGCATGTCCCTCTGCTCGAAAGCTATCCTTATCCTCTGCAAGAGCCCAGGAGCCTGCTCTCGCTCCATGTTGCACACAAACTTCAAGGCAGTAGGTCGCATTTGACATCTTAAAAATATAGTTAGCTTTACTTAGCAAGAAAATCGCATACAGTGCAGAGACCTTCCGCCTGAGTCCATCCTCAACACATTAGACCCTTAGGAGGGCCGAAACGCGTCGGCCGGTGACCTCATGTTTTTGCTTGCTCAAAAAGCATACTTATAAATATGTTTCATTTATAGTTGCTCGTAAGCTGGTACTGACATTGTGAAAATCAGGAAATGCACCGAAACAGTAACCAAAATTTGTTGTAACAATATTATTATTATACAGGATTTATATAGCACCAACAGTTTGCTCAGCGCTTTACAATATAACGGGAGACAATACAGCAACAATACAGTTCAATACAAGAGGGTTAGGAGCAGGGGCGGACTGACAACTCATGGGGCTCCCGGGCAATAGGGGATCATGGGGTACCCTGTCCTCACCCACACCCAAAAAAGCCTATAAAAAAGGTACCAGGGGCATCTCATGGGGCCCCCTACTGACCCCGGGCCCTCGGGCAGTGCCCGAGTGCTCAAATGGTCAGTCCGCCCATGGTTAGGAGGGCCTTGCTCCTTGGAGCTTACAATCTAAGAATTGCCACAATTGATTTATGAATGTAGATATTTTCAGGGTGTAATCTTTGGGTGTGACAGATCTACCTTCACACCTACTGAACCTTCTTTTTTTTCGCTGCAGCCTCTGATGTGGCCGCCTCTCAGGCCTGTGCATCGACCCTGCCCTGGCTAATGCCCCGTACACACGATAAGAAAATTGTACTAAAAATTTAGCGGAAACACTGATCGAACGATTTTCTCTTCGTTGATTAGGATGTTTTAACTGATAACAATATTGTGAACGAAAAAATCTGGTTAAATTAAACACTAGAGAATAGATGTTACACAGAGGCAAATGTTTGTAGAGAGGAATTTTCAGAACTGTCAGTGAAAAATTTTGTCGTTTCGCATATGAAGGACCGATTTTCTATGTGGTGGTATGACGGCTGTACTAAAAAAAAAATCTATCAAGCGCTATCACGCATGAGCGGAGACAGATGACACGGATGTTTATGTCCAAGGAATCTTCGTAAACACGAACGAAAAATCCAAATGTTAACAGTAAATTGGCCTAATGAGATAATGAAACCAGAATTCTGCAGATTATATTTTATGTATCACTATTTATGTATATAGGTCATGTAATAAACTATGTTATACTCATTGCTGATCATTGTTGTGTATCGCTCGTTCTGGCCGGAAGGTTGTGGCTACAAGGTCACATGCACACCGCATCACTTCCACTTGTATAGAAGACGTCAACACTACGTATTGCCTGACTAACGATTTTTTTAGATTGGTTAAGGTGGGCCACGATTTCCACCAACGAACAAATGCCTCTCGGTCATCGGATGACCGATTGGTCGATTTTCTTCCCACCTTTAGCCATTAGTCATGTGCTGTCTGCCAACGACAACAATCATTATTCAGGAGGGACCACTAATTGGCAAGCTTTGTCTAATGACAGCCCTCAGTTAACTTTGGCTAAGTATACAAATAAACCTCAGTAGCAATTATTCTGGCAGTCCGGATTCCTCTTTTCTCCAGCACAAGTGAGCTTTTTATGTACGGATCTCCAGTATATTAGTGTAATTCAAGCCACCATCAGGGCAGTGAAATCATTACTCCAATAGGGGGCATTGGCCTTAAAAATGTCAGGAATGGACTCACCACAGGTGGTGCTGGGGCTCACCTGCCTTGTGGGCTGCAGCATCAGTGCTGGCCAGCGGGTGCTCTCAGCAGCCAGAATCTCACTCCTGCAGTCAAGCCATCACCTGAGGCTGATTGCAGGAGGTGTATTTAAGCAGGACCAGGCCTGCAATCCGTGCCTTAGTGTTTGTTCCCATGAGGCCCTGTACCTGCATCCTGTCTGCTTCCTGTCTGATCGAGACTCTGCTAGAACTCTGCCTGCACTGACCGCGGCTATTCCTGACCACTCTCCTGCCTGCACCTTTGTACCTTGTCTGCCCGTTAGTTACCGACCCGGCCTGCCTGACTACGCTTGTGTTCCCGCACATATTGTGATCTGTTGGAGGTTTGGTTTTTGCACTGTGTGTCTGGATGTACTGTATAGTCTTTAATAAATGATATTATTTTACACCATACTTGAAGCCAGCGTTTCCCTGTGTCAATGCACACATCACTGGTCATACCCGGATCCCTGACAAAATCTGTCAGGATGGGGCTTGGCCATGCAGAACTTATGTCCCCTGTCATGGAGAAAAGGTTGCAGTCAATGGTAGACTAATTGAGTGGGACAGAACTGGATGCTTTGACAATTTTAAGACAGGAAATTAAATGAGTCTCTGGCTAACAGTTTTTTTAGGAAATCTGACCTTTAGATCAACAAAGAATCTAGTAACTATTTCAAGAACATGAACTCTTCAGAATCAGGAACCAAGTATCAAAGGTGCAATGTTAAGTTTAAAGTAGATCTAAAGTTACTGTATTTTCCGGCGTATGAGGCGACTGGGTGTATAAGACGACCCCCTAATTTTCCAGTTAAAACATAAGTTTTGGGCTATACTCCCCGTATAAGACTACCCCCCTTCCGAGGCAACACTATTTAAAAACATCAGATTTTTTAATTGAAATCATAAGTTCATGAATGACATCTTGTGAAACATTTGTAATACATTCATCATATGGATCAAATTCCAAATCAAATGGTTACCGCTGGATGTGCGGTAATACGGTAGCTTCGGCTACATACAGTATACAGTATATATACAGCCCGCTGCATGTGCAGTAATGTACATACAGTATACCGCGCTGAGCAAAGCTGGCTCAAATCAAATGTCCCTATGACAGATTAATCTGTCAGCCCGCTGGATGTGTGGTATATACAGTATACTGAGTATATACCACTGTGGTATATACCAGGGGCGGACTGGCCATTTGGAAACTGGGGCACTGCCCGAGGGCCCGGGGTCAGTAGGGGGCCCCATGAGATGCCCCTGGTACCTTTTTCATAGGCTTTTTTGAGTTTGGGCAAGGACACAGGGGCCCCATGATCCCTATTGCCCAGGGGCCCCATGGGTTGTCAGTCCGCCCCTGGTATATACAGTATACTGAGCCAAGCTGTTTCAAAACGTACCGGTACGTCCCTACTGTAATCAGCCCGCTGGATGTGTGTATATACAGTAGCTGAGGCTACATACAGTATACGCTGGGCCAATCACAGCGAGCGATGTATTCGACTAATGAATACAAAGCCTGCTCGGATTGGCTGAGGTTGTGACATCATCAGCCCACCGCTCTGACTCAGCCAATCCGAGCAGGCTTTGTATTCATTAGTAGAATACATCACTCGCCGTGATTGGCCAGTGTATACTGTATGTAGCCGCAGCTACCGTACATACACGCATCCAGCGGGCTGATTACAGTAGGGACGTACCGGTACGTTTTGAAACCGCTTGGCTCAGCGCAGTATACTGTATATACCGCACATCCAGCAGGCTGACAGATTAATCTGTCATAGTGACATAGTGTTTTGAGCCAGCTTGGCTCAGCATGGTATACTGTATGTACAGTATTACCACACATCCAGCCAGCTTGACCCAAACAAACTCAAGGTTCACATTTTATACCCCGTGTATAAGACGACCCCCAATTTTTGGGGTATATTTTTAAGTATAAAAAGTAGTCTTATACGCCAGAAAATACTGTAATCACGAAAAGCCTATATCATCTTTAACATGTTAACATAATAATATAAGCGGTTTTAAATCTGCAGGTTTAATTAAAATAATATTTGGTGTCATAAAGACCCTTGTTCAGGCACTTTCTGTTATGGGGTGATAACTGTCTCTGAAGTGTGTCCCTGAGTTGCCTCCCTGTCACATGCACCCATTGTGGGGATAACACAGAGTCAGGCAAACACACATTTTACAGGTGTAGCACTACCCCTGTGGGAGTTGCTGAAGATTTGGCTCCCCCTATAGTCCTGCACAGCCTGGCAACATGCATTTTCTCAGACTTGCATTCCAGAGACAGTAAACAGTCCTTCAGCTTTTTTTCTTTTTTTTTAGTTTTATTACGGGTATTGAACATGGATGGGGTTGAGAGGTGTATGGGATGCCCAAGGAACAGTGAACTGAGGGCAAACTCCTTAGCAACTATGTAAAAGTGATAGAAGGGTGCAGAGGTGGACTGACCATTTGAAAACTCAGGCAGTGCCCGAGGGCCTAGGGTCAGTAGGGGGCCCCATGAGATGTCCCTGGTACCTTTTTCATGGGCTTTTTTGAGTTTGGGCAAGGACACAGGGGCCCCATGATCCCCTATTGCTCGGGGGCTCCATGAGTTGTCAGTCCGCCCCTGGAAGGGTGTCTCTTCTTGGAGAGCTCTCCAGTCTCTCCCGACGTACCACCCCAAACCTCAGATAGTTCTCCTCTATCCAGCTGTCTGGAGGGGATCCAGTGCTTGCCACTTAAATATGAAACATTCCTGGGTAAAGAACTAATCAGGTTGCCCCCGCCAGAGTGCTCTTCTCCCCTTAACTGGCCCAGGGGCTGTAGGATTACTCACTCAGTCTCTTTCCTGTAGGCTGGTGTAGGTAGGTGGCTGCCTTCAAGCCTTCTGCTGGGCTTGTTCCTTTCCTGTCTCCACAGATAGTCCTCCTTTTGGGGATTGGTGAGGCTAAGTGATCCTCCTTTCCAAGTTCCAGTCTGTATGTAGGCCCCTTTCCACTGGGTCCCCTCCCAGGCTCCCGCATCTCAGACTTCCTCGCATCTTCCACCCAAACTCTCCTAGGGTGGAAGAATGAGGTGTGTGCTCTCTATCAAGTAAACATACAGATTTTAGGACATCATCAGAGCATGGTCTTTTCCTTCTTGTGTGTCTCCCATGGAGAGTGAACAGGTTCCCTGGACCTTCCCACCTAGATGTCTGGATCAAGGGAGAATAACCAGCAGCTTGATGTGCCAGGGTTTCAGGTTTCTTTGATCACAGCTTGTCATTTTAGGATTCTTAAAATGTAAAAATTAAAAAAAAAAGCTATTTGATGTCATTTGCCATCATGAGATAGCATGTAGCTGTAGATAATTGGCCTGAGATAACATGTAATAAGAGGCCCCATGGTTGCTGATGGTGTCATTGAATGTTTAAAAACAGCTCACAATGATTCAGTATAGGTTACTGTGTTTGTACTCCTTTTCAAGAGCACAGCACTGAGCTATACAGATTTCATAATAAATGGATTGAATAGCTCACAGCTAGAGCTTAGGTTTATTTGAAAAAATAACATATTGTGTTTTTAAAAAAAAAAAAAAGATTCTGTTACATACAAAGCGATATCAAAAGGGTTATGAAGCAGAATATAATCATCATCAGTGGAAAATATGCAACCTTTTCTGTAATTCTCTGACTCAACAAGCTACATAGAGATGGAGCGCTCAACACTGCTCTGTACCTGAACACCACACATAGAAGAGTGACAGCAGAAAAGGAACAAGTGGTCCATTAAATCTTTCAATACTTTTTTACCTTTTTTTCCCGAGTATCGATCTATGTTTGTTCCAAGTATAACTGAATCCACTTACTGTTAACTGACTTACTGGGGTTGGTTTACTAAAACAGGAGGGTGCAAAATCTGGTGCAACGCCGCATAGAAACCAATCAGCTTCCAAGTTGTAGGGCTCATGTACACTGCAGCTGCTAAACTGACGTTAAGGAGCTGTTCAGCATTTTTTTTTCAGCAGCCCCTGAACTCCCCCTAATGTTTTCCTATGTGTCCATGTACACATCGTCGTTTACAGGCAGTTGAGTTTACAGTCGTTTTTTTTGAACGCACCAAACTTGCAGTCAGAAGTAGATTTTACCAGCGTTTCAAACTCCAAACGCTTGTAAATCCTTGTATACGCGGTTAACCGCATTTATAAGTGTTTAGAAGCTTTTTTTAACTGTTCCATATCCAGATGCTGTCCAGAGGCTTTTTTTCATCATCAGAAATGCATGCAAAGCGTTTTCCATGTATTTAAATGGACCCGATACACCAGCGCAATCAGTTCCAGGTTTTGCGTGAAGGAAAAAATGTTAGAACGTGCCGTATTATGCTCATGATGGGATAGTGAATACAACCAGAAAAGACAGGTCATTTCAACACATACTGCTCTCTCTGCTTCTGCTCTCTCTATTCCTCTCAAAATGTCTGAAATAGTTTTTTTACTACTTTTCAGTGCATTCTGGGCATTCAGGAAGGTCTCCTGAGGTTATCTTTTAAAAACACTTCAAACCGCAAATGCACATAAACGGGCATAAACGCGGTATGCAAACGCATCTAAACTGACGTTTTTTAACCTACGTTTTCCGACAGTCAGTTTCCATTGTTCAGAAGAGTTTTCCAAACGCCCCATGTACATGAGCCTTTATTGTCAAAGCTTAATTGAACAAGCTGGAGTTGGAAGCTGATTGGCTACCATTAACAGCTGCACCAGATTTTGCACCCTGCAGTTTTAGTAAATCAACCCTAGTATGTCTGCTGGAAGTCTATTCCAAGCATCAACTACTCTTTTGGTAAAATAATACATATATATAACTCTGGTGTGTCCATAAAACACATACTTACGTGCAGGTCTGCCGTTAGAAACCACAGGGCCCCATACAGCCAACCTGACATATTGTGACATATTTATCAGACCCTTTCCCCAATCTCCATCCTGAAGGATTCTAATGTGTGCCTGCAGCTGCTGGTGGGAAAGAGAGGTGGGAAGCTGGAACTGTGGAGGCCCAGGCTAAGTGAATCAGATATGCACAGGGAGGGTGATCGGCATAGTGGGCGGGGGGGGGCAATTACTGGAACCAATTCCCTGTATGCCTTTCTCTGCAGCAGCTGAAAACCAGTGGGAGAGAGAGGAAAAGAGTTCAACTTTCAGATGCTGCAGAGGGAGCCATACAGGGCATCAGTTCCAGTAATTGCCCTATTACCGTGCTGATCACCCTCCCTGCCCACATCCAATTCACTCAGCTGCCTGGGCCCCCTGCTGGCCTGGGCCCCATATAGGAGGACTGTTGGTACCTCTTTATCCGTGGCCCTGCTTACGTGTCCAGTGAATCCAAACCACCGGTATCCTGTAGTGATCCTCTGTATACTGTTGCACATGCAGTCTTCTTTTCTAATGTCATGGGAAGCCCGCTGTCTCTTCCAGGTTATTGCAGCCACCCCTATGGTGACACGCATGTGGTGCAGCACATCATCAGCTGGCCTCCTGATAACACACCATGGCCCTTGCACACTCGCTATGGGTTGCCCCTAAGCCTCATAGGATGCATGACAAAAATACCAGTGCATCTCAATAAATTAGAATATCATCAAAAAGTTTATTTATTTCAGTAGTTCAATTCAAAAAGCGAAACTCATATACTATATAGATTCATTACACACAAAGTGATATATTTCAAGCATTTATTTCTTTTAATTTTGATAACTATGGCTTACAGCTAGTGAAAACTCAAAATTTATCATCTCAGAAAATTAGAATATTACATAAGACCAATTAAAAAAAAAAAGATTTTTAATACAAAAATGTTGGCTTACTGAAAAGTATGTCCATGTATAGTATAGTATGCACTCAGTAGTTGGTCGGGGCTCCTTTTGCATGAATTACTGCATCAATGCGGCGTGGCATGGAGGTGATCAGCCTGTGGCACTGCTGAGGTGTTATGGAAGCCTAGGTTGCTTTGATAGCAGCTTTCAGCTCATCTGAGTTGTTGGGTCTGGTGTCTCTCATCTTCCTCTTGACAATACCCCACAGATTCTCTATGGGGTTTAGATCAGGAGAGTTTGCTGGTCAATCAAGCACAGTGATACCACGATCGTTAAACCAGATATTGGTACTTTTGGCAGTGTGGGCAGGTGCCAAGTCATGCTGGAAAATGAAATCAGCATCTCCATAAAGCTGGTCAGCAGAGGGAAGCATGAAGTGCTCTAGAATTTCCTGGTAGAGGACTACGCTGACTTTGGCCTTGACAAAACACAGTGGACTAACACCAGCAGATGACATGGCCCCCGAAATCATCATTGACTGTGAAAACTTCACA